TCAATCAGTCAATTTCAACTTCTTGCGGGGAAAAGAAAGATCTTGCAAAGTTGGAATTGATTGATTGAACTTTTTAGTCCCACCCAGTCTGCCGTTATCACCCCAGCCACGCCCACCCAATGGGCCACACCCACCCAATGGGCCACACCCACCCAATGGGCCACACCCACCCAATGGGCCACACCCACCCAGCACACGACGATACATAAGTGGGTTTTGGGTTGCAGTTTGGGCCCTCGGTCTCTAAAAGGTTTGCCATCACTGCACTATGGGGCGGTATATAAGCCTATATACTATTGCTGTTCCTATAGAGCTGTGATGAAAAACACACTAGCAATGCACAGAAGCAAGACAGAGATTTTTGTGAGATCATTAAATTACAAAATCATAAGATTTGAAAAGACCTTGAAGGCCTTCTATAGTAGTTCGCTTCCTGCCCATACAGGGATCCACATACCACTCCAGACGAGTGTTAGTCCAAAAGCGGAAATTTTTCCAGCGGACTAGTCATTTGTCTGGGAAGTTATGAGGACAGAGGTAAAATATCAACAGACCTTCTGATAAGAGGAAATTAAACAAGCCAAAGGGTAAAATTCAAAAAGGGAAGAAAAACAAGCAGGCCGAGAGAAAAGATCAGCGGGGATGTTAGAGCATAAAAGGTTAACTTTCAGTCCCGCTGGACAATGACCTTCGAAAGAGGTACACAAATCAGAAAAACAAAATCTTTCACTTCCAGCAGTCTGAAGTCCTCCAGATAAGCGGAGTCCCATTCTCTCCAGCCAGCATGGGAATTTAGTAGAAATAACTTTGCTAACTTTTCAACCGCCAGCCGCTTTCTAATTCACACATCCCTGAGCCCCAGAGGGATGGTGGGATAGGAGCTGTGGGACTGCTACTCCTGTTTCATCCACTGGTAGCTGGAGAGCGACGTAGGACATACTACTCAAACCCAAGACAAAGAAATAAATACCTGCAAGCCGGTCGTAAAGCGAAGGAAAGGGAGGCAGATGTTTTAAGCGGGACATGCTGAGCGATGGTGCTGGAGGATTGAGCTGTGGGCATGTTGCTTCCTGCTCTGCCTCTTTGGGGCATCCACCCTGTGTCCTGCAACTCGTTCTGAAGCAGGATTCAACCATCAAAACTCAACTGGCTTCTACTTAATTGGAAGAGGACAAGCTATGATCTGCTTCAAGCAGACAGATGTCCTGAACTGAAACTGCAGCAAGAGAATTGTGGGGGAAAACCATAAGAAAAACCTCCGAAGAGCTCACCTTCTCCCGTTCTTCGCGGCACTTGAGCTCTGTCTGCAGGAGACGTTCTTTCAGTTCCAGCAGCCGTTCCTCCTCCTGCTTCAGCGCCCGCCTCTCTTCCTGCAGTTCCCCTTCTAACAAGGCACCTTCCAGGTCCATCTGCCAAGAAGAGGAGGAGACAGGTCAGGAGAACCTTGCCAAAACATCTTTGACGTGCCCCGATATGTTGACTGACGTAACGTCAACACAGGCACGGGGAGGTGCAGAGAGACGCAAAGTGAAGCCTACGAAACGGGAACTAGAAGGATCCAAGCATGCAAATGTCCAGACTTCCTGCCCGGAAAATGGCTGCCTCCACTGAGGTGAGCACCTTCGGCGTTGGCTGATGGAGATTTCCTGTCCTGTGGAGCAAACCAGTCCTTCTCCGTGTCCCTCTCAAGTGCCTCTGTTCTTCCTTGGGTGTGGGCCGCTCAACACTGGTTTTACAGGTGCTGATTGTTGTCCAATCAACAACCTCATGATGCAGGGAGGGGACTGAATAAGCTAAGGTGTACCTCTATATTCAGCTCTTTCTTCCGATGATGCAGCTCCTTGAGCCGATTTTCAAGAGCTGAGATTTTCCTCAGAGCCGCACGCTGATCGCCTTCAGGATCACCACCAGTGCTTCCACTGCAAGGACTCACATGCTGGAAAGAGAGTAAGGTAGAATCAGGAGTTTCAAG